ATCTTCCACTGGTCCATGTGGATTGTTTTCAATCAGTGACCAATCACAGCCACCTGTGCCAAGGCTGTGAGCAGTCACAGGATTTTTGTTATTAATTTCTATTCTATTCCTGTCTTTGCAGCCTTCTGATCTTCTTCTCTCTGTTCTTTTAGTATAGTTGTAATGTAGTATTTTAGTATCTCAAAATAAGTCAGCCTTCTGATGAAAATGGAGTCAAACCTCGTGTCCTCACACGAGGGGTTGTCAAGACAAGAGTGGGGGGTGGGAGATCAGACCCCTGAAGAGCTGGGTGGTGGGAGATCAGACCCTGGAGGAGCTGGGGAGGGGAGATCAGACCCCTGAGGAGCTGGGGAGGGGGAGATCAGACCCCGGAGGATCTGGGGGTGGGAGATCAGACCCCTGAGGAGCTGGGGAGGGGGAGATCAGACCCTGGAGGATCCGGGGGTGGGAGATCAGACCCTGGAGGAGCTGGGGAGGGGAGATCAGACCCTGGAGGATCCGGGGGGTGGGAGATCAGACCCCGCGGGATCCGGGGGGCTCAAAGCCAGGGCAGCACTCACATGGGGGTCTCCCTTCTCGGCAGCCAGGGCGTGCAGCTCCAGCAGCGCTTGGTTCACCGACTTCTCCAGCGCCAGCGCCGCCTCCACCGCCTCCAGCGCCGAGCCCCAGGTGTCGCGCTCCGGCTTCTGCGGGGCACGGAGCGTCACTGGAGGAGCCCCGGTAGCCCCCAGCCCCCGGCTGCAAGCCCCCCTACCCACCTTGACGTCCTGCAGCAGGACGCGGCCGCCGCGGTTGGTCTGGAAGCGCAGCAGCCCCTCGGCGTGCTCCCGCTCCTCCCGCGACTGCTCCAGGAAGAAGCGCGACAGTCGCGACAGGGCCACGTCGTCCCTGTCGAAGTAAAAACCCTGCGGGGCAAGAGGGGAGGGAGGAGAGGTCAGGCAGACCCGCCGGGACCCCCCAAAATTCCTGGCATTCCGCTCTGCCGGGCGGGGCGGGGCGGGAGGGGGTTGGGGGCGCAGCAAGGGGGGGTTGGGGCGCAGTCCCCCAGCCCCGGGGGTCCCGAGCCCCCCTACCATGGACAGGTAGACGTAGGAGGCGTAGAGCTCCATGTTGGCCATGCGGTTGACGGCGGCCTCGCAGTCGCGGTGGTAGTTCTGGCGGATCTGGGAGTCCATGGCGGCTCGGACGGACGGACGGACGGACGGACGGAGCGGCTCGAGACGGATGGAAGAGCGGGACGGACAGACGGAGCGGCTCGGGAGCTGCGGGACGGACAGACGGAGCGGTTCGGGAGCGGTTCGGGAAGGACGGAGCGGTTCGGGAGCTGAGGGAAGGACAGACAGACAGACGGAGCGGTTCGGGAAGGACGGAGGGGTTCAGGAGCTGCGCTTCGGGGCCGGTTCGGGACGGACCGACGGAAGGACGGAGCGGCGGGACGGACGGACGGACGGAGCGGTTCCAGCTGGTTCGGGAGCGGCGGTTCGGGGCCGGTTCGGGGCGCGGCGCCGCGAGCAGCCGGTTCCGTTCAAGCACTGTTGAAGCGAGAACGCGGCCGCGGCCGCTCAACGTCCGCGGGGCTTTTGTAAGAAACCCAAAAAACCACGGCCACCC